AGATATTCTATCCCAGATATATTCTATTCATCTGATATGAATTGCAGCAACTCATCATTTCCTTTTGAAGCATTCCAATGACAAAGATTTTCATGCTGTTTTAAATTATCTTTCCTGTTATAGCTCCTGGGGCACAACTTGCAAGCAAAAACTTTAGGAAATAAGGCATGGACAACTTGATGATGACGTCGCAAGCTTTTAATTCGTGAGAACTGCTTGTTGCACACAAAGCAATATGGCTGTCTTGCCTCAAAACCAAGGATTCTTTCTCTTTTATTTCGAAAACGTACACTGCCTTCAATTTCATTGCCACCATAATAGTCTATAAATAAAGCAAAAATATACATGAGGGCAAAATTGAAGAAAACACACATACAGGTATACTAAATTATAAAAAAATTCAATAAACAAAAATTATACAAAAGTCTATTCTATTTTAAATAATTCAAATGGAAGATGACATTCGAGAATATATTGATATATATTTATCTGAAAAATAAAATGAATAAACTCTAAGAATAACAAAAGATAATATAAAATGTATTAAATGATTGTCTGGGATTAAAGAAATTGACTGAAAACATGATTGCAGCCTTTGAATTCAATCCCATTTTTTATATGATACACTTACATTCAAAATAATATACATGTTTAAAATATCAATATGTCTGCAGCGATGAGTATTAGAAAGGATAAATTACTTTAACATTAAAGCTTTTAAACACATAAATAAAGATACTCTAACTAGAAATTAAAGAACATATTTTTAAGTACTCAATAATTAATCAATAACATTAACAGATCCGAGTCCTCCATCTTACTTAACAGTAGTTTACTGTTAATACCATTAAAATTTTGTTAAAATAATTATAAAAAATTTTATGATCATAATTTTTGCTTATAAAAAGAACAATCAGAATAACTGAAATTGGTTTTTGTTAAAAAGTTTGCTTTAATTGTTAAAATAGTTACACTAGCCTTATGCTATTTAAAACCAGCAGCTTAAGAGAAAAATTAATATAAAATAAATTTCGGCTCAAGCCCAAAGTGTGGTAGTCCAGCTTCAACCCATATTAGGATAATTTAACAATAAACATTAGTTGAATATTTTATCATACCTGACTGTAAATACATTTATCTCATTCAATTTTTAAATTTATGACAATTTAAACTAATCAACCTAAAGTAATCTTAGTTAAATAAAATATATAAAAATAAAGTGTATTGCTTTTATGGTACATAGCTGAAGTCAATTTCTAAATTATTAACAACATTCAGCTAATGTTTAAAAAAAAAAAAAAAAAAAAAAAAAAGGCCACCACAACTACTTACAAAGACACTGAAATAAATTTAATATTCAATCGTATTCAGGAAAAGGATACCATATTAACGTAAAGTTACATAAAAATAGGAAAACCAAGGTTTAAAGTTTCATAAAGAGAGAATCCGGATTGGGCAACCCATTAATACAAATGGGCCTTTTATATAAAACACCATCAATTAATTAATACTCGTAGTTCAACTATGGAAAGGAATTGAGGATGAACTTACTCTGCCAAAGGAAAAAGGGCAGGATGTATAAGCGGAAAGAATATACAATAGAGGGAAAAAGCTATTTACCTAACAAGACAGAGGGGGGGGGTAATACTGAATAAGCTTAGTAAATCATCAATCAAGGGGAGTGTTTTATGCAGAGACTTGAAAACGTTGACAGATAAAGAGGGGGCCTAGGCAAGCAAAAATAACATAATATGATATAAAAAAGATTAAATGACAATCATGGAAAAGCTAAAAATGGCGACTAAGGGGAGGGAGTGACCGACACCGACTAATTGGAAACCAAATAACTAAGTGTACTTATTAATAATATTTTATACAACTTATTAAAATTGCAACCTCAATATATAACATATTTTTATTAAATAGCCATGCATTCATTCTTAAGTACTTTTGAATTTGAAGTATGATTGTAAAATATACTTTGATGTTTTTCTCTAACACTAGCTTAAAATGCACGTTATTGGAAAAAAAAATAAATACTTTTAGGGACATAAAAATTACATTTATTATTAAGTGCGAAAACTGCATGCATCTTCCAGCTTTCAACTGCTATAAAAAGTAAAAATTTGATTTTTAGCACATTAGATATTTATTATTTTGGGCAAGTTTTCTTTACATGAACTGGCAAACACTTCTTCCACTTGAAATTTTCAAAACAATATGAGCATTGGTAGAGTTTCAACCATGACTATGCTTATTTTTTTTATATAACAAATCTTTTGATTTAAATAATTTGATGCACTTTTCACATGGGAAGAGCAAGTTGTTCTCAACTTTATCAGTTATGTATTTCAATACTGTTTTGAAATCTAGAAAGAGTGCCATATTTTTATATAGAATTAAACCAGGAATAATAATGCATTAATAAAAGCTCAAAATATGCATAATTATTTTTGATGCTTAACTTATTTTTTAAAAAAAGAGATTGTAACTTGAAATCCAGAAAACACATATCAATTTGCAACTTATATATGTATACAAAAAACATTCTTTTTATTTTATATACATGCAATGCAAATAATTTTTTTTTATTAAAAATATAATTTTCATCACTTTTTAATGAATAATATATCAATTAAAACATTTGTGACTATACCTGCATTATTTCAAGTAATGGCATTTTATTACATAAGAAATTCTCAAAGCTACCTGCTTAATTTAAATGAGTATTACTTTATTTAAACTATATAATCGATTCTCCGATTTTAGAACAGAAATTATACATTTAAAAGTGAAATTTTAAACTATGACAAAAGTACATGTCAAAAAATCCCACATTTCAGGTGAATGGAAAAATGCTATATAAATGAAATACTACCTACATTTATTTAATCAAAGAGTAATGTTTTTCTTTATCTACAAACTAACTTTTTCAAAATAAAAAAATACTGTTTTTTTCCTAACCTTCTTCACAGCATGATTTTGACTTCCTTTGATTTACACATTGTCATAGAAGTATTATTTAATCGAGTATGTATGTACCTTAATTTTCTACTGGATGAAATAACGAAAAATAGTAAATTTAAATATTAAAAGAACTTATTTAGTTTTCCTCTAGACTGAAGAAATAAAATTTTTCTCCTTTAAAATACATGAAATAAAAAAAGTAATGAATTCATGAATGAAACACAAAATAAACAGAAAATACCTTGATAAATTTAATTGATTCAGCAAATAAATGTTTTAATATTTTGAAAATATAATTACATTAAAACTTATTAGCTCATTGCTTCTACATGGCATGCAAATATAATAGAAAAACAGTAAAAAAAATAGTTAAAAACATTATATCCATTTAAAGACATAACTACAATTGCCTCTGCAAGTCTTCAAGTTGTTTCCTGAAATGTTCTTTTTGTAGAAGTACTTGAAATTTGGTTTGGATGGTATCTTTTCATATGACTCCATTTAGAAGACCGCCATTTAAATGATGCATTGCATACTTGACAAAACAGTAATTTTGTTGAATGAAGATTGAGGTGCTGCTTCAGAAGTTGATTTGTTTTAAATGATTTGGAGCAAAAAGGGCATGGAAAGGCATCACTGCAATCAGAATGCCGAGAAAACACATCAACAACAGAATCTGTAAGCAACATTGGAAGAATTTGCCCATCTGAAATAAACAGTCAAAACTTCAAGTTACAAATCAAACTTTTATTCGACAAAATAACATGCAAATTAAACATAACAAAGAATGATGGTATGTTTTCTAAAGATCATAACATTATTATAAAGCATATTATTATATTTTAATGCTGCTTTATTTTCAATACATAATATTAAAATTAACTTTATCAATTATTGATTTCATTTTAAATATTTCATAAATAAGCTCTTTTTATGAGATAAAAATCTCAAGTTCTTTATTAACTAATTCTTTTTGCACATTACATGATTATCTTCAACAATTATGAAATAAAATTTATTAAGTTTATTATATTTCAGAATACATAAGCCAATTTTAAAAATAGGTAAACTCGTTATTACACTTCAGCCACTTTTATTCTACAACAAAAAATTGCAAATTTATTCCCTTTAAGCTAACAGTAGTTTTTGGATCTCTATTGCGGCCTTACTCAGCTAGAATGAATCTGCCTTTCGTATAAAATTAATAAAAAAGAAGGAACTTTTTCCCACAGGCTTTTTATTTGATAATCTCAGCAGTCATTTGAAAACAATAAATATTAATTTTTTCAAAATTTGTACATATAAATTACACTTTTTTAATTATTAAAATGTCATATATTTTCTTATAACACACCACAGTTATTTAAAGATTTTGTGCAAACGCAATATTCAAATAGAAAAACTGTAAATAATAAAAGCCTTGTACACAGAATAATCCTAAATTACATCACTAAGATATGAAAAAAAAAATTAAAAAAAAAAGTGAAATATTCTATGATTATATAAATTAACCATTAAAACTCTGAAAGTTAAATATAAGATAGTAGAAGACTTTCACTGGCTTCCAGCTTCAGACTCAGCAGGGGTTAAGTGGATACAACAACTGAACACTGAACACTAGTACACTAACCCAGGTTTGAATCCTAGTGAACAGGTGTTAGTTACATGGATGTTTTTGTGATTTTTTTCATGTGTAATATGAATATAAGCCAGTTTTTCTTAGATAATCATCCAAAAAAGCATCTATTTAGGCAGCTTTCCTGAAATACAAAAACAAAATGTTCTAATGCCAATCTAAAATTTAATACTGACATATTCTGAAGATGTATAGTGAGGTAAATTGTTTGTCCCATAATTTATGCTTTTTCATACATCTCATTTCCTTTCAATAACATTTTATTCCATGCATACATGCTAAAAAAATTAAACATTTAATTATAAGCATTTTAAGGAACAACTATTCTCTATTCCATATATTACTTACATAAAGAAATTGTTTAATCATTTATCTCAAAGCATGCAAAAGTCATCTGCCTAGGAACAGAGAAGCCTGAAAGAATTTCTAAAGGTAACTGGCTCATAAGCATGTAACACATGGAGAAAAGAAGTATGAAAAACACCCAAGCACTCACCCCATTTGCTAGAATTGAAGCCGAGTTGAGCTGTTCAGTGGTCTTATCCACTCAGCCACTAGTAGGTGCCTTTAAAAACATGATAAATTAAACAAATATTTAATTTTAATTTCTGTTAATAAGTTTTACAAAATTAAAAAAATTCGAATATGGATAATTGATGAGCATGTATATCTGTCTAATATGTATAACTGATGAATTTAATGACATTATGAAAAAAGAATATAAAGCATCACATATGTAAAGCATCATACATTTGCACATTAGCATGCATTCTCAAAACGGAAATCAAATCTTAAAATTTTCAAAATGAAACCTATTAAAAATTAAAAAGTGACAAGAACTGAAGAAATGGAAGAATAGAATACTTTTTAAAAATAAATAAAAAGTAGCTAAAATTTGTACTTAAAAAAAAAAAAAAAAAAAAAAAAACCCTATTATTTTACTTGCATAAAGAAAGAGTGCATTCTGAATATTCAACAATTCTGATCTTTTTTTACTGTACCACTTTTGTCTGCATATCAGTTTTTGTCCCTATCACTTTTCAAATAAACCGATGTTGCACCAATGGTGCACATGTATTCTTTAAAGAAAAACATGAATTAAAAAAACACAACATGTTACACCAATAAAATGATTGTTCTACCAATGGTTATTGCCATTTATGATTTTTAAAGAAATATACAGTTCTGATCAAAGGAGTGTAGGGCAATACTTAACCCTCTAAAAAAAAAAAAAAAAACCAAAGCGTATCAGAAGAAAGTCTAGGCAACTGATAAGTGCACCTCAAGTAAGGCCTAAGACCTTAACAAAATCGGAATCCTTTCAGATTTTCTTTTTAATTATTATTACTGTTCTTATTATTTTATTTACTTCACAAAGATGAATAATTTCTTGAATGACAAAATGATACTAAAAAATTATTGGTTTTAAATATAAACACTGTTACTTCAGAGATTCAAAAACAAATAAATAACTGTATTGTTCCCTTTGCACAAACTTCAAGAGAGTTGTACACAAATTCCTACGGTTTCCCATATTAAATTCAATATTATAACTCATGCACATGTAATAATTTACTTTAATTATTTTCTTAATCACATAAGTTTACTCTACAAGAAAATAATTGCAACACACACAGCTGATCCTGCACTTTAGTTAGTATTAAAGTTAAACATTTTTCTATACAGCTATATGCAGAATATAAAAAAGTGCAAGTCGAAATATGAGTGCACAGGTGTACAAAATTTTAAGAATCTCAAAGAATGCAAATACTCTGATTTTACTTTACCACTCAAAGCACATATTTTAATTTTATCAATACAAGAAATACAAAAGATTTTTTATACTGGATAAAATTTCCTGCCAATTTTAGCATTCTTTACATACATTCATCTATAATGATAAAATGCTTTTCAAATATTTAGTCTCAAAAAGTAACCTTTTTGTAACAAAAAAAAATACACAACCCAAAAAAAAAAATGTAACAGCACACATGAAACTATTTTAAATCTGTATGGGGTTTACTGCTAATTTTATATTTACATTCATTAATAAATTACTACTCAAACATAAGAATTTTCAGTAAATAGATAATTTACGTTTTAAAAAGTACTAGAACAAATGCAAATTTAATATATATGCAAAAAGATTTAAAAATTAAATAATCTTTTTTCATTAAAAAGTATTCATAATTAAAGAATACATAAGATGAGAGAATTTTATAATGTTTAAATCATACATAAATAAAAAGGATAGTTTTACAGGACTTCAGAACCTGCCTTGTAAACAAAAAATGTGACACATGCAAAACATTATCACATTTATTATATACACACATATGTACCTTGCATGCATGCAAGAATGCCCTTATTGCCAAGATAAACAGCTAGTAATGAAATTAAGAAAGAAAACTCGGAATATCTCTGCTGGTAGATATAACTCAACAATAACTTGCCTGTAATAAACTTCAAGTCAATGAAAGGTTTTACATAATAAATTAATGATTGTAGAATCTTCAAATATATACTCACTGTTGTGGTAAAAAAATCTTAAATCAACAACAAATTACTAATGAAAATAATACATATTATGTATGAATTTAATGCAAATAATACTTAATACTCAAAATAAAAACTCAAACCCCAAAGGTTTAAGAGGTGACATTGATCAGAAAATAAGAGCAAACATCAGAGCTGCATAAAAAATGTTTTATTTTTAAATTAAAATCAATGCAAATGCATACTTTCACATATAACTCATTACTGCAAAGCCATTAATAAATCAGCATTAAACAATCATCAAAGGTCTGAATTTTTATTGACAGATAATTCTGACACTTAAATTATTTTAGGATATATGGCATCTGATATTTCAAATATGCATATTATCATCATAACATGTACCAAAAAAGAAACAGAGATTGCTCTAAAAATAATTAAAACTTTAGCAGTTATACTGTAAAATCATAACTGAGAAAAGAGAAAAATCAGTGGTGAATGTTACATGAAAACAAGTAGATTCTTATTCAACTACTACGCATAGTTATATACATTCGTATTTTTCTTTAAGGATCTTTTGATTAAACCTACCTAACTGCATGACACCAGCAAACTCATTTATTATAACTGATATTAATAAATTCAAAAATTTCTCTAAAACTATACAAATTAAAACAAGACATATCACAATATAATTTGATTTATAAATGTTATGAACATCAAATATTTAATTATTTTACTTCTTTATTTTAAAAGATAAAACTGATTTACTGTTTTTAAGAGAAAAGATGCATATTAAAAAGTATCTCTAGGATGTTACATGGATAAAAATTTATGACAGCAAAGTATCAGTTTCTTTATTACATAATTTTTGTAAATTTACAATAAAAATATACATTATAGCTACATTCTAGTACTAATGCCATGATTTTATACACAAACTGAAAACAGATAATAATCAAAATGAAATCCAAATTAATTCAGCCAAAGAACATATTTTATAAAAAAGAAATCTCACTCTTTAGAAAAGAAATGTAAGATTAATGATTTTATTTTGAATGAAATTTTCCATAATCACAGTTATTTTCAAAATGTATATTATTTGAAATTTCCTTCATGAAAAATTGCTTTTTCATTCTTTGTTACTTTGCACTGTTTAATTATATGAATTAAAAGAAAATAAGCACCTAGCATATGGTTTATATGGTTTGGAAAAACTTTAAAATATTCACCTTACATGTATACAAAAATTACAAATCTTAATAGACTTAACAGATTGTGATCCACATATTGAATAATAAATATATATTATATAACATTTGATCCTGAATAAAATAGACTAATCATTAATGATAATTTACGATAAATGTGGTCACTCATTATATAGTCTGTGATGAAAGGGGAGTTTAAAAACAGGCGAAAATTCCCCTCCAAAACTTAACAACAAATAATGATTTGATTCTTTTATGATCCTCCCCTTTTTTTTTTTTTTTTCTTTTTTTTCCCACATATAGAAAGTGGTAACAATGAATAATGCTTATCTTCATAACAGATAGTGTAATTTCTTACACAAATTGACAGGATATAATGCAAATCAAAGGCAGAGAATATTAGCATACTGTCTATTGAATGCTTGCCTTACCTTTTTAGCAGTGATAGTTAAATGACACAGAAATACAACATAATTATACTTACACGTATTTCTAGCATTTGTGAAATATGCATATTTTCTGTTTTCTTTTTACTTGGAACTATACTTTTAATTATTTTTACACCAAATGTAAGATAATAGAATAAAATATAAGTACCATTATAAATAAATTTCTCTCACGTACATGCACTAAAAAGAAGAAAAAAAAAAGGGGGGGAATCGAGAACTATGCAGTTATTTTTATCAGCATATCTGCTCACACAACAAATGCTCACAAATAGTAAATGTTGTATTCTATGGACTATTTGAAATGAGTCAAGTATATGAAATTCATATATAATTTGATATTGTTTATAAATAATTTGATATTCTTACATCATTGAGCCAGGTATATAAAATTTGATATTCATGCATAATTTCATATTTTTATACTTTATTCTTTATACATAATTTGATATTCTTTAACAGAAATAAAAAAATTACCCATTAAAATATCATAAAATCAAGATAAAGGGAAGAAAGTCTGCATTTTCTTCCCTAAGTAAATAGCAAGATTAAACTTATAAAATTTGCATGGTTGCATGACATTAACCACAAATGTACACCCACAGAAAGAAAATTCAACAAATATAATTATCAAAAACATTATTCATTAATGTTTTAAATACAAAATCACAGACAAGTATCATCCTTTAATTAAAATATAAATAATACTAAATAATAATTGAAAAACCATTCCCATTTTAATTAAATTGCTGATCTGTAACGTCGTTAACATCTGATGCGATGTTATATATTTTATACAAACAAAAGGTGATTCATAAATAAGTAACAATTAATGAAATTATAATATAGTCATTTGCTTATATTTTCAAAAAATTAGAAAGTGCAAATAGTTTTTCAGCATGTTAAAGGGTTAAAATTGACTCTTAGTACAAAAATGCTAAAACTATTTCATCATTCAAATATAAATGTATAAATATTTTATATATAAGAATTTTTATGCATAAAAATGTCAAACTTTAAGAATAAAAAAGTATCTTATTTACAAATGGTTTATTTTATTTAAATGCGCAACAGAAATTACATTTACATTTTGATGAATCAAATTGTAAGTAATATAAAATTTCACAAACAAAGTAAATACATCTATAAATTTTTCAGTTCTGGACAGAAAAGAAATATAAGGAAAAATAGGTTAGAATAAGGTAAAAGCAAACTCATAAAACCAGTTACTACAGCATACACACATACAGGGTAAAAAAATGGCTGTTAAGATACTTAAGTTATACACGATAATTGTTAATGAATTTTATACACAGCATGGAGAGTTCTTCAAATTTCATTTACAGTTATAATGAATATTCTTGCAAATTACCCATACAGTGAAAAAAGGATACTTACATATTATCCCATCAATTGTGAAACCATAAAAAATTAGCATGGTTTAGTGCCAGTTATGGATAAACATGATGTAGCGACATACTCAGAACATTTATGCTTTTATTAGATGTAGCCCCAGCTAATTCTTTGCTTGGTTTATTTGAGTATGGCAAAGCAATCAAGAGTTATCTGTCTCAATTGTTTCTCAATAAGCCACTTTTTTTTAATGAACTAAGATATAGCGAATTAACTAGCTGTATTTTTTCCCTTGCATAAAAAAAAAAAAAAAAAAAAAAAAATCAAAATTTGGGACCTGCTTTCTACAGAACAGCCCTTAATTTTTCAGAGTCATGGAATCCCATCATAAAAAAAGTGGGTATATTTTTTTAATGGAATTTTTAAGCTCTGGCCACTACTAAGGCCAGAGGCATAGTCATTTTATTATGAAGGCACCTAATAGGCAGCCACCACTACTTCCTATGAAAGGACACACAATTTACATCCATGCCTTTTACAGGATTTAATCCCGGGCCCTTTGATACGGTAGTCATGATTTTATAATCACTAATCACTTTCCCATCTGGGTGGCTAAAAACGGTGGGTATAATGGTCATGATATGGTTAGCTGAAAATGTCAGATAAAATGGCAACAGATTAGAACAAACAATTACCTGCAGGAAGCTTATACTCATAATACTATGCTTGTACTCATTATATATGTTTTGAACAGAGTTTCTGATAAATTCATTGGGCCTAAAAATCTGTAGAAATCCAAGAAAGCCTTTAAGGAAGAACACAACCAAAGCAATTTGTATACTGATTGTTTAATAAATACACAGGTGTCAGTTCCTTCATAATTCTGCAGGAAAATTGGTGCCACTTGGGCGAGATCTCCACCAAATGCTTTGATGGCAGCCAGCTTTCACTTTTGATAAGATAATACATAAGTTATAAAAAAATTCATTTTATTTTGTTTTATCTTATTCTCACTTCTAATTAATTTACATAAATAAAAGGTAAAACAAATAAATGAATACATTTCCAAATGAAATACCAAACTCAAACAGATGATTTGAATAACAGCGATATAATTTGATTTTGATATTACATAGCTCAGCTAGAAAGAGTTCAGTGGCATTTAAATAAGAAAAAAAAAAAAAAAAGGTTACTGAAAACCAAAAATAATGTCATTAATTCAAAATTAATACTAATTAATAATTTTATCAATAATATTATGATTAAACACGTTTTTCAGAGAAAATTAGCAAACTAGCTATAATGAATGCTATACCACAGCATCACAGTTGTACACCTGTGTAACATTTACTTCAGGTATTCTTTAATGCAAATGGCTGATTAAGAATTGTGCTTTAATAGTTATATAGATCATTTTGTTTTCTAAGGTATAAGAAAATGCAGTTAAAATGGCGAGGGGTATTATAAATATCAATAACTTTAATATTTAAAAGTACTTGACATGTTAAACAAGTTCCAAAGTCATATATATATAAAGAAGGCAAAAAATGTCTGTACCAATATATATTTTATACACAATAAATATAAAAAATTGGATGTGTGGATAAGTAATGAATAATAAAATCTATAAATAAAAATGATAAAAAAAATATAAAGAAGCCAAATTTATAAAACCAAAGGATGACACTCTGTTATGCCAGAGATTGAACTCCAGTCTGTGAATAGAAGTCAAAAATGGCAGTTTGTATCAAGATAAATCATAAAAAAGTTATGATGCTTTTTTTTATTATTTATTCATTACGCACTGAGTTTATAACTTATAATTAAATACTGCTTACATTTATCTTATATGATAGCTTTAAATAGGTATTATTTTATATTTCCTCTGTTACATAACTATGATATCTGCAATACAATTATTATTTCTGTGACATGATATACTACTTCAGAAATAGAGCGTTTAAACTCCTATATCCAAAAATAATTACAATTTTTTAAACAAAATTGAAGAAACTACTCTTACTAATTATATCTTATATGAAAACTGGTGGTTTGTAATAATTAGATAAAGAGATTTGTATTTCAAGCAGTGATATAATATTTTTCATTATTGTTAAATATATCTTTTCTCAAGATTTAAAGTGTATTTCCAGATATATACTTCTGAGTTCCAGATATATGCTTCTTAAAACTAGGCAAAACAACAACCTTGTGTTCGGCATACAGAATGTTTTGCTCCTTATGAAGAGAGACCTCTACGTTTTCATCTCAAAATCGATAGATTTTCAATTAAATCCATGCCAAACAAAAAGTTGCTTTTTTGCCTAACTGTAAGTTTTATTTTGGCATATTCCTCTTTTCTTTCTTATTATTATGCATATTAACAAATCTATTTTTTTTATGTCATTAAATGTTCACAGTTAGTACTGCATTTAAAAGTATTAAGCAATTTCCAAGAACAGCTCTGATTTTTGATGTTACTACTTAAATCAAGGTATGCAAAATTACATTTAGTTCAAAAACTCATTTCACCCTTTCCAGATAATGACATTAACAAAAATATAAAGATGAAATATAATTAACAGATCATTTATGTAATTCTTTTCATCTCAATTTTATTTAAATAATTAGATGATATTCTTTCCCACACTTTGTGTGTAAATTTCAAAAAGTTTAATTAAAAATTTCTATAATAAATATAAATGTTACAGTTATGAAGAGAAATACTGTTACTCTTACAATGAATAATCTATAATTTAATTAAAAATTTCCATAACAAATATAAATGTTACAGTTATGAAAAGAAATACTGTACTTCTACACTAAATAATTTATAATTTCTTTCCTAGCATCATTATGAATTCATACTTGTGATGAGATCCAGTAACTGAAACTGATTTAACATCAGTTGTAGAGCTTGCAGTAACATTATCAAAACATATTTTAAAAAATTAGATGAGAAGACAGTCCATAAACAAAACAGAATTTAAGTACAGCAAATGAATAATAATCACTATTGAATGCAGCATTCTCTGTTAGCAATTAAAACAAATTGTCATTTATAAAAAATTTTGATCTTGTAAAACAATGTCCTTTTTCCTAAATCTTTCAAAACAACAATGAAAATAAGTTGGAGTACCACAAACACTTATCTTTTTACATTTTAGAAATAAATGTATTTTAAGAATCACATAACATATTTCTGTTATTCATCAAAATAGCAGTAAACCCAAGCAAATCAAGAAGACACATACAATTAAAAAGAGACTAGAGAGATTAAAATTTACTATATTTCCAATAGTTATATAAAAGCTAATTTATCATATTATTAAATATTTAATTCAGAGCATTGAAGAACTAATTTAACAACTTTCATCTGTCAATTTTTTTTTTTTTTTTTTTTTTTTTTTTTAAGAAAATCTTATTTGAATCTTTTTTTCAGTTTTTAGTATTTGAAAGAAAAAAAAAAAAATTACTACACATGTTAATTTCGAAATAAAAATAATAACTGAAAATGTAAAGTTGCAAAGCACGTTATTTACAATATCTGTAATAAAAAAAAGGAGACTTCCAAAATGATTTTTTCAAAAAAATTTTCATACTTCATTGCGCATTTCAAAATTTCATATATCCACATCATGATCACGACGTAAATGTGCATTAAGGGCATTTTTCCAAGAGAATCTCTTGTCACACATGTCACATTTATAATTCTTTCTTTTCAAAAAATGAATTTCTATGTGTCTATTGAGTGTGCCTGAATTATAGAAACATTTGTTGCAGACTGGACAAGTTGGCCGAGATGAGCTTGTATTATTGTCTAGGCCAGATGTGAAGAGAATAGAAGTTGAAGATGTGCGCTTGTGAAACCCAAATTTCCGTTTCCATGAAGAATGGTGAAGTAGCCGGTTAACTAATAAGCAAAATACCCTTCTTTAATACAAAATTTATAAATATTTTACCAAAAAAAAAAAATTCTCATAAAAAATAACACATTAATTTACACAAAGATGTATAGAATAATTGGTACTCTTCTGTTATTGGGGCTGGATTTAAAAAATGTATGTGTGTACATATGTATATGCATATATAAGTATACACACACACATACTACATGTACGTACAATATACACATGCCTACATGAAAACATCTATCCATCCATACAAGCATGCCATACATACCTATAATTCTGAATTTGGACCCGATAACAGAAGAGTACCAAATAATTTAGCCAAAATTATGCGAAAAAAAAAAAAGATATTAAAAATTCAGAAGAAACTTCAATAGTTTATTATAAGTACATTATTCAATACAATAATTTACTTGAAATTCATAAATCAAGAATTTAAACTTCATGAAATCTGTATTAATTTTAAAACAATATATTATTAATTATTAAAGTATTATGTCACTAGAATTACTTCAAGGTATAATACAGCAAAACAGCCTATTAAAAATTACTAAACAAATTAAAAACACTAAAGGAAAACAAATTATTTTAATTTAAATTAAGCCACTTCCAAAAAGTATAAGAATTTATTTTAAAATACATTATAGCTCATTAAGGTATTAAATCACTAAAATTACATAAAGGCATATTACTATAAAGGAGTCCATTTAAAGTGTCTAATTTAAAATCACTAAAAACAAATAATTTTTAATAAAATAACTCACTTCTTAGTACAGAAATTTATTTAAAAATGTCAAATTCATCTAAAACCAAACTAGTCTGCAATTTGAGATAATTGTTATTTTGGATAAATATAGACAGATAAATTATTACTTAGAAACAGAGAACTTTTTCTGTACGTCTAATGCATTAGAAACACTACACTATTTCCAGACATCAACGCTCAGTTTCTTCAACATTTATGTTTTCTTATATTATTTACCAAATTTTTAATCAGCTTCCATTCTTCTTAATATGCTTCTATATGAGAATTTTTCAGATTCTTCCATGCTGTCTGCCATATAATTATTTTCCCAATAGTTTTAACCCAATAGTTTAATGCTGATATGCTAAGAGAGATCTGGGACTCAAATAATAGAATAATTTGAATAAAATCTAAAATTCATGCTACTGCCTGCTCAATGAAATTCTTTAATACAGGAAAAAATATTATTCCTCTCTGAACTGCACTATCATTTTTCTTCTTCTTTTTAATACAAGATGAACACTGCCACACTGATGAATTAACGCTGCCTACCGATGAATTAAATAATAGATGAAATTTAACGTCATCAGCTAACACTTTATTGTGTCTCCCCTTTTTTTAAAAATAATTCTATACCTTTTTCTGCTTAAATTTACTTTGGAAAAACAGGTTAACACTTAACGAATGCGTTGAATCTGCTCTGCCTTTCTCTATTTCTGGGCACTTTTTAGAAGCATTAAATAAATATGCATGTATGATTTTAAATCATAGTAGTTTTATTAAATCAACATTATAATATTTTATAACATTATTTATTAACATGTCTAGTATTTTTTTACGAGTATGATATTTTGTAAAACATTAATCTTTCTGAAATGAAACCTGACAGAATTTACATATGTATCTTGTTTCGCTTACAGTTTCATTATTACTTCCTACACTGGATAATTTATCTGCTAAATTCCCTTACAGATTTCCACATCTTCCAAAGAAAACACTTTTCTACTAGACATTTTAAAGGTTACGAAATTACTTTGAAATACTGCCTAAAAAGTAAAATGCATAGTAAAATCAATAGACAGATAGTACTGAAACTAATGTAAGAAAAATAGGAAAACACAATGTGCTTAAAATGAAAAATGACTGCAGCATACTAAAAATTCAAGCAAAAATGTAAATCTATATGGCCGTCCAAGGAAGTCACAATGGAATAACACAAATTTACATGATCCATCCGTTAAATATTAAGGAATGAATTTAGTGTATACTAAGGAATTTGAAATGACTTATTTTGAAAGGGGGAGGGAGAATTCACTGAATGAACTTTAAATAGCTCTCTATAAAATTAACAGAAATCTAACAGTTTTAAATATTTTCAAATTAATAAAGTGGCAATCTTTATCAAAATGTTCATTTAAATATTTTTAAATTAATACAGTTTTACTCAAAAAATTCAATAAAAAATGTTGCTAGAAAAAAAAAAGAGAGAGAGGGAAAAAAAAAAAAAAAAAAAGAATAAAGAAAGAAAGAGATGACAATAACACTGAAGTTAAATCTATGGATACATAATTTTTAATCATCATATTTAATGAATTTTGATACATAATATGAAATTACAACAAAAATAAAAAGAATTAACTTTGAATCTTATTCCTATTATAAACTGCTGCCAAAGTTTAAACTTAGAAGAGACACATTATTTAGGAAAATAACTAGAGAAAGAAAAAAAGAAGATTAGTATATAAATTTTGGGGGAAGGAGAGATAACAAAAAGCATAAAAATATGTATATAAATATATACAATCTTAAAATTTTTATAATTTAAACAAAACTTACGCACAATAAAACCAAAAACATTAATCAAATATAATGAATTTATAAAAACAAAATATAAGTAACAACAATATTTATGACTTTCTAATTAATGCAACAGGTGCCACATTAGCACAAAATAAATATTACGAATAAAAAACTATCAGAATTTTATTATTTCACATTTTAGAATTTCGCCACATAAACACACATATAAACATGAACTAACACACACAGCTTTATTTTTAACACATTATTCTCTTGCTGTCAGATGTACTGAAAAGCAAATTAAGAAAAGTTATTATTCAGAAAACTGCACTATATATGTATAATAATAATTTAAAATTTAGAAGAATACATAATAAAAATTAAAAGACTGGTCAGGTAGAAAATAAAATCTTACAGTTTGGTGAAAACATAAAATAAAAGTTTGATAACAGGTTCATATAACCTGCCATTAACAACTTATAAATACTTTGGTTTAGTGAAAACATGAGTTTTTACACTTCCAATATTTATTTAAGACATGCTTAATTCTCTCTAAATACCTACTATTAAGAAAAAAATACCATGTATTTTACAGTATAAACAGTACAAACATAATTAAGGACATATAAAAGAAATGAAATGCTTAAATGTGAAATGCAATGAAGAACAAAGATTATTCTTGGGTGTGTCATAATGTATTATATCAGATAAAGTACAGTTATTCAGAATCAATTTTTTATTGAAAATTCTTGAAGTTAAAATTTTGCTCATGATTAGTTTCAACTATGTTATACTAAAAAAATAAATAAATATAGAACACGTTCTCAATAATAAAGTTCAAATTTTTTAACATTTGGTTCGAATAGAATTTTTAATAAGTGAAGCTTATAATCGAACTATTTATATGCTTTTAAAATTTATATGGCACAAGACATATAAGTTGCTGATATCTCACAATAAAAGGTACATACATAAAAAAATCAGGCATTTAGAAGAGCTGAAACAAATTTTTACATGACTCAAATTTATTAAATTAATGATTAAACTAACTGAAGTTTTAAATGCACAGCAGCATTAAATTCTTTTCAAAACTTGCTTCTACTCATATACTTAATTATGCATTTAAAGAAATATTCATCTCTGTAGAGGGGAGAACTGATGTTAGAAATTTTAAGATGCAGAGATACAACTACTGCTTTTACTTACTGAAGATGAAAAATTCACAGAATTGCTGCAAGGATTACTTACTAAATGCAAAAATATATCTCAAAGATTTTTAACTTAGTAACATATTTAAATGCAGATTCAGATATAATGATTATCAAGAACATAAGAAAGAACATGTCATTAAATATTGATAATTTATGTTAGAAGAGAACTAGAAAGCCACCAGATATATTTCTGGTTAGTTTATTCAGTATAAGAAGTATTTCTCCTAAAAGCAACTCAGCTTTAATTTACATTTACAAATAAATCTAAGATGCAGCACCAAACGAATGAAATAGTCATGATAGAAAACAATACCAATAATAATATCATTCATTTTCCTTGACAGATGTATTTCATTTTCTCTTTTTCAACAATCTCCCTACTACACACACTTTTTGAAATTTATGCTTTTTACTTTGTAACATACACAAAAAAGATTTAAAGCAAACTTTTGAATAAAGACTACAGGTTCAAATACGACAGACTTAAATTTGTAACATTATCACTCAATTCTAATATAATGTTATTTATTATTACTCAATTCTAATATAACGTTATTTATTAACATGTCTAGTATTTTTTTTATGAGTATATTTTGTAAAATGTTCTAATATTGTTGAGATAAGAGAAATTAAGTATAAAATGAGAGGTGATAAAGAACCGAATATAATTTAATTCATCAGTAAATAATATAGTAATATAAATTTCCTGCTACCCTGTCTTTGATTTTTGGATAAATATCTCAAAACGGTCAAGAATTTGACTTACACTCTCACATTTTTGTTAATATGAATAATTTCAATTGTTAGGTTCAAATCATTGACTGCCATTCGAGAAAAAAAAGTTTTTTTAGAACTTTCAATAATATGTTCTCATTTTAGTAACAATGGAAGAGAAAAATAAAGATAATGATTTCTAAACTATCCTTAATTTTAAATGCGTATCAAATGAGTGGTTATGGCACATACAAACAATCTACGAGGGCCATCCAGGAAGTAGATTACGTTTCCGTCTGTGTCCGCTAGGGGCGGGGCTAGCGCGGCCATCTTGGGGTCAGAGCGTTGCGCAGCTCAGTCTGCATCTAGCCGTTGCTAGTGAGAGGGGTCGTGCTGTGCTCCGTTCAGATACTGTGACGGTTTGAAATGTCTGCGTTAATTGAAAATCCCGCGAGCTGCGAGGTGCGCTCAGTAATAAGGTTTCTGACTGCAAAAAACTGTAAACCGATAGAAATCTATCGGCAGCTCGTGAAGTGTATGGGGACAACATTATCACTGAAGGTGGAGTGCGTCAGTGGGTCATAAGATTTCAAAATGCCGAACCAATGTTCACGACGAAGATCGAAGTGGGAGAAGACCCAACATAGTGACCGCCGAACTTCTCGAAAAAGTCGATGCTAAAGTCCGTGAAAATCGAAATTTCACAATAACGGAACTTTCTTTGAGTTTTCCACAAATTTCGCGAAGTGTGTTGCACAAAATATCAGCGAAAAGCTTGGTTACCACAAGTTTTGTGCAAGATGGATTCCAAAAAATCTTGACAGAGGACCACAAAAATCAGCGAATGGCTGCAGCGTTGAACTTTTTGGACGCTTACCATAAGGATGG